TAGTGTCACAATACTTCTGCAAGTCCTTGGCAGGATGGATTTAAATTGGAAATGCCAACATAAAAGTACCTAAAGCAGAGAGGTTTAATATGTTTTTACTAGGTTTTTAACAATAGGTTGAATTTTGGGGGATATAGGAACATAGGAAAACAGGAATATGAGGAGGGCATTCAGCCCAGCCGTTCCACCAGTTTATTGCATCTTGCCAGATCTTTTAATCCCACCCCCTTTTGCCATTCCCCTTAATACCTCAAATTTTCACTCCAATTTGTTCCTTTCCTACTGAAGGAACCAAGCGGCTATTTTTAATGTAGAATTGCAGTCAATGAAGCATACTATTTGACCGAGGGACCGGGTTACCAACATTTGGGGTTTCTTCACTTGTTGGTAACTAACCTTGGTAATTTCTAATGAAAAAATCCATTTGCTACTTCAAGCAGCAACAAGGTGTGTTTTGGCAGAGAAACTGATTGAGGGAGCTGGTGAGAAGACAGAAGGGTGTAAATAATAACAATGAATTGCATTTATAGAGCGCTTTTCTGCAGCTTGTGGAGGGAAGAGTCGGACAGTCCAATGAATAGGGAGTTAGCATAGTCAAGCCTGGAGATAATGAAGGTGTGGATGAGGGCCTCAGCACCCTGAGTGCCTGCCTCCGCCACTCTGGTAGTGGCGGAGGCAGGCACTGTTGCAGAGCTGGGGGAAGGCGCAGAATGGGTCATCGTACAGATGTGCTGTTTAAAGACAGTTGAGGGTCAAACAAGACACTAAGATTCCACATTGGCTCATCGAGTGGAGCGTTTAACCATCAATAGTGATACTGACGGTCCCTAAGTTGGGGAGAAACTGACGGAAGTCAAGCAGAGGGCCTCGGGCTTGTTGCCATCCAACTGGAGAAAATTGGTTCTCATCCACGACTTGATGTCTGAAATCAGTAGTCCTGGAGTTGAGGGTGGAGGCAGAGAGATAGAATTGGGTTTCATGGGCATGCAATGGAATGCCAAATTCAGATCAATCCTCTATGATGGTCTTGATAGTCTGGTTCCTGAAGCAGGCAGTTCTGCACTATTCCAGGGCACAGCCGATGACAGACCAACCAACTAGCTCATTCGCAGAACTTGCAGGGCCAGACTCATCAATGGGGACAGAGATTCTTCCCATTCAGCTCTTCCCAACACACTTAATGAATGGTGTGTTAATGAATTAACACACCATTCATTAGTCTTAATGTGTTTCCACATGTGTCAGACACTAGCCTGACCAAAACAAAAGGCACAGGAGTTCAGGTCTCTGGCTATGCAACAATGAACTGGATATTCAGAGGTTCACAAGAGAAGTCAGGGTAGCAATGGGTTTTCTCTTCCGTGTTCTGTTATGCATAACTGTTAGTCCACAGTTATTTCAAGACACATTTAATACCAATCACAAATACCCCTTTAAATAACATGAGCTTATGCTCTCAGTGTTTGAAAATTTAGTACCATGTACTTATGCAAAATAATATACACATACCAAAAGTTGGAGAATATACTGATGATCAGAGAATAACCTTCACAAAAATGTGTGAGGTGAAAACATTGAGTCGGTCATTAGACAGCAGATAAGTGAATATCTGAAACCTATTAATGCTTTTTATAATGAAATGCCAGTCTTATTTTACAGTCTGTTCTTGTAATTTTAGTTGAATTACGTGACTGACAGAATACTATTAGTTACACTCAGTACAATTCTTTTGCTTTGTTAGATTGCTGCTCCGCCTCATACTTCCACAAAGGGAATTCAATTTACAGATTCATGTTGCTAACCAATAAAAAATGACCTGCATATATTTCTTATAACTCACTTATTCTACTTTACATCAAAATGTGCGTCCATAATATCAGATTTTTGCTTGGGCTTCATAAACCCACCTTGAATCCTTACTCAGCATATCTTATTTAATGTTGTATTTTATTTTTAACATTGTCAGGTTATGTCAGGAGCTGGATTACTGTATTTAGAGCAATAAATCTAGCAACTTTCTGCATGCGTATTTGTGAGTATATTGCATCTTTAGAATTTCACACAAACAGCATATGTTTTTTATTGTGTAATGTGAAGGCAAGTCTTAGTATTTTGTCAGTGTAGAGATAGTCAGGGAAAGAGATAGCATAGACATAGAGGAAGACATAGAGAAAGTCTAGAGACAAAGACAGAGAATGTTAAACCATCTTAGAGAGAAAGACAAAGAGGAAGTCAGGAGGAGAGGCTAAGGATATAGCCTCGAAAGGACTTGTTAAAAGACTTCCTCCCTTTATTTGAAGGCGAAAGATTCTGCTCAAGAATGAATCGGATGGGCCAAAAAGGCTTTCTTCCATCCAAACCAATCTTGTGATTATGTGAGTTTTATTCTTTTACAACCAATTTTTTTTTCTACCAGAATTAGTTATGATATTTCAGTGTATCTTTACAAGATGCTGAAAATGGAGAAAAGGATTTAACTGAGAAATAAAAAAACGATCATCCAATAAGTGTTTACTGAAACAAAAGTATTATAAAGCTCAACATTTTCTCAGGTATAATAAAGGTTTTACGTGTTATACATTTGTATTTTAAATGTTATGGCCTATATAAAATGAAAGTAACATAACCTCACCCGACTACTGTGAAATTATATTTCTTCAGCTTTTCTTAACACATCTGTTTTACACATCTGGATGATAAAGATCCCATGGCACTATTTGAATAGAGACATGGGAGGGGCTTCTCTGTGCCCTGGACAACAATCTCTCACATAAAATTGGTCAGTCACTTCATAACTGTGTGTAGGACATTACTGTGTGCAAATTGGCTGCCATGTTTACCCACAAAATATATTAATTACTCCACTTTACAACATATCCTGTGAATTGCTTTGAGACAGTTTCCTGATGTGAAAGGAGCTGCATCAAATGTAAGGATTATTATTATTTTGTAAAGCATTTTGAGACTTTCTTTTAGCATTGGAAGGCACTATACAAATGCTAAATATTATTATAGCTCTTGGATTTAGTATAGGAGGTGCAATGTTAAAATTTGCGGGTGACACCAAACAGGGGTAAATAGGGAAGAGGAATGCAAAAGAATACAGGAAGACATAAACAGAGTAGCAGAATGGGAAAACAGATGGCAAATGAAGTTTAATATAGGTAAAAGCAAAGTAGAATTTTGGCAGGAAAAAATAAAGAAACCATCATGGTACAGAATAGTATTACCCTAAGAGAAATAAAGGAGCAAAAGAGATTGGGGATTCAGATCCACTAAAAGCAGCATCACAGCTAGATAAAGCTATATACAAAAAAGCCTAATAATAATAATCCTTGCATTTGATATAGCGCTTTTCACGTCGGGAGGACAACAACAACAACAACAAGATTCCATTTATAAAGCGCCTTTCACGTCAGGAGGACGTCCCGAGGCGCTGCACAGTGGTCAGGACCCGAGCAGGGGGGAAATGGTGGGGGGGGGGGAGAGAGCGAGGAGGGGGGGGGGGGGGGGGGGGGGGGGAGGGAGCGAGGAGGGGGAAGAGAGTCGAGAGGGGAGCTGAAGGCTCGGTCAAAGAGAAAGGTTTTGAGACCGGCCTTGAAGGAGGAAAGGGAGGAAGCAAGGCGAAGGCACTGGGGGATGGAGTTCCAGAGCCTGGGGGCTGAGAGGCTGAAGGCCCGACAACCGATGGTAGGGCGGTTGGGCGGGGACGTGGAGCAGACCGGAGCCAGAGGAACGGAGGGTACGGGCAGGTAGGTAGGGGGATAGTAGGTTGGAGAGGTAGGAGGGAGCAAGGCCGTCAATGGCCTTGTAGGACGTCCCAAAGCGCTTCACAGAATATACTGTAAAGTGAATTGACTGTATATTTGTGGGCGAACGCGGCAGCTAATTGCGTACAGCAATGTCCCACAAACAGTCGTGGATTGAAAATGACCAATTTATTATTGTTTTTGTTTTTTTGGAGGGATTAGGTGTGTGGAGTAAGGAAACTTGCCCAAGGTTTCGCACTGACCTGCCTGGAATTGAACCCAGGTCTCTCACTTGCAAAGCGAGTGCTCTAACCGCTGAGCTACAGGACTCCACAATGGCCTATTAGGCTTATATACAAAAATAAATGGAGTATGAAAATGAGGAGTTGATATCGAATTTGAATAATACTTGTTTAGAACACATTTGCAGTACTGTGTTCCATTCTGGTCACCACACTACAAGAAGGAAATACTGTAGCAGTGATGAAGAGTACCGGTTAGGTTTACAAGAATGATAGTAATCCTGGCAGATTACTGCTGTCCAGATAGACTGGATAGGTTAGGACCTTTTTCGCTAGAAAAGAGATGTTTAAGGGGGGACCTTATAAAGATGCTTAAAATCATAAAAGAGTTTGATGAAGCTAGCATAAATAGGCTGTTTCCACTTATTGGGGAGTCCATAACCAGGGGACACAAGTATAAGATAGAGACTAGGGGATCTAAAAGACAATATACGATTTATGACAATTTCTTCACACAGAAGATAGTGAGAATTCTGAACTCACTGCCTGAAGCGGTGGTTGAAGCAGATAGTATAGATGCATTTTAGAGGAAGCTAGATACACACATGAGGGAGAAGAAGATAGGTGGGTATGGAGGGTGTAAGCAATGGGTACAGACTCATGTGGAGTATAAACATTGCACGGACTGGTTGGGCTGATTTTGCTGTTTCCATCCTGTACAGGCTATGTAAAACCTTGTAAATCTATGTAAATGCATATAAAGTCTTATTTTGAAAGGAAAGATTGTTTCAGCAGGAATACTAAAAGTTTTTCCAAATGCTTAGCGGAAATACATCTATCTCAAATTATTGAAGAAGTGAAGTTTTGACATAAACAGAAGTGAAACATTGTTAATATGTCACTGATGAACAGATCAATTCCTGGATTCAGTTTGACTTTAGCAATAAATGTCTTTCTATAATTGAGATTAATTGTTGTTACTTAATTGCATATATTGCTTGCTTTGCAGGAAATTATGGAGAGAGTGGTATGGAAGCTTTCAAAGAGATGGCAGCCAAGGAGGGAATCTGCATTGCCCACTCTTACAAAATTTACAGCAACGCTGGGGAACAGAGCTTTGATAAGCTTTTGAAGAAGATGCGTAGTCAACTACCAAAGGCCCGAGTGGTGGCTTGTTTCTGCGAGGGCATGACTGTAAGAGGGCTGCTGATGTCTATGAGGAGACTCAGTTCAACAGGAGAATTTCAACTGGTTGGCAGGCAAGTGAAAATCTCTGTTTGTAATGAACTGATATCCCAATGCATTGAAATTCAGTTATGGGGCAGCCCCGATGATGTAATGGTAGAGCTGCAATTTACTGCCCAGGATCTTGTTGGTTTGAATTCTAATCCATTCTAAGTTTGTTGTTCTGATGTGGGGCTGAATTGAAGCTAAATTGGACTTGGCTGTTCCCAGCGCTGGGGAGGAAAAAAACTGCCAGCGTTCCTCCTCCTGGTCCCTCTATAGTATCCTCTACTGATTGTGCGAAGCCAGGAAGAGTGAGGTCAGGCTTGGCTGCAATGCCTTCGACAGTCAAATGGTCTGCCAACACTCACTGCCAAAGTTCACACTAGAACCATGGTCATTTGAGTGGGTTACTGAATGGCAATCAGCATCTGATCAATACTTAGCATGCACCAGGACAGTAGAACAAGAGGATGCAGGTTTAGAGTTGAAAAGGGCAGATTTCAGGACAGATTAAAGGAAGTGTAGCTTTACTCAGAGGGTAATTAATGACCAGAACAGGTTGCTGCCAGGACACCTGGCTTAGAGCAGAACATTGGACTCATTTAAAATGCAGTTTTGTTGGTGGATGCTTGGGTGAGTGCTCTGGAAGGATGAGATTAGATGGGCTGAAGGACCTTCTTCAGCCAAACTAATATTGTGATCTGTGGTACCGCACCTCAGCAAGAAGAAACCAGATGAGAGGCATAGGCCAGTGGGGAGAAAATGTTTAAAAAAATGTAATCAAACACACTAATTTTAAAAAGAAAACAGTTACAGCAGTGATGGTAAACATAATATCTTGCTTCCAAGTTGCCTCAAATGTAGGATGATTGTGTGGGTCTCAATCAGGTAATGGTCTAATTCAAAGTAAATCAATAAAATCAAGCATTCCGCTTAAAAGAAAAAAAATCTCTGTTCTTTGCCCTGTGCTGGGGCTTGGTTCTATGTGTACCCTCCAGGAATTGACACAAATCATGATTCTTCATGTAAGAGTTTGGACTGTACATGTTGGCTAGAGGTGAGTCTAGGCGGATGTAATTCTTTTTTAAAGGTCCTGTCCTCATGATGTCTACACAAGCATATTTTTTAGCATGTGTCGCTGGAGAATGAATGGTTTTGATTTTTCCCTCATGAACAAATAAAGTCAGCATAGACCAGGGATCAAACCTTCCTTCCCTTGCATGTCTCTATCACGCAGTAATGCAATTGCCCATTGAACCTTTGGGGCCCATCTATGAATTTTATTGTGATATGGTCTGGTTTTAATATTGTCCACCATGAAGTTTAGTGTCCTGTTTGACTATAATTGAATGTGAGCAGGTTAACTTTCACAAGAACCAAGAATGCTTTTGGCTTCCCTAATTATCTTCATAGCCTGTTGACCACTGGCAGACTGCCACTCATATCACAGGTTAAATCCAGCGCATTATTTATCCCCCCTCCCATTGTAGATGAACAGCATCATCACCACTTCAATGCAGAAGTATAAAATTGCTGCCTCCAGCAACCTTTACTTGTAATGAGAACAAAGTGCGCTTTCAATTCAGCATCAGGATCGATGGTATAATGATTCCAGACGGTTTTACATTGTTGAAACTCGACACAACACTTCCATTTTTCTTCTGGAGAATAACATAACAGTGAGTTTGAACTTTACTGGAAATGAAGTTTGATGTGCTGGTGGCACGCAAGGCGGAAGCAATTGCAGCACGACCGGAGAAGTCAGTGCAGATAGAATAAACTTTCAGATGGATAACATCTTGATAATCACAAAAAGGAAGCAGAAGCAACAAACAGTCCTATGGAAATTGCCTGAGGAACAGTAACCTCGATACTATTAGAGAAGCAGAAAGTAAAGCATAATTTGGATAATACATTTGTTTTCTTGTTTTGAATCAAAACTGGAAGCATCTATGACATAGCAGAGTGTAACATTACTTGACTTTATTTGGGTAAATCCATTTTCTTGTGGGATGGGAGATGGTAAGGGAAAACAGCGCATCAGACTAATTGTTTGTGACACTTTGGATTGTTAAATGTGGTTGATGAAGGGCATGCTGGTCATTCACAACTCATTTTAATGAAAGCAGGCTGAGATTGTGGCACACAGTTCTTTGCGGTCTGCAGCTTGTTAATACTTTAGTTTGGCAAACATATATTACCTACTGATGTGAATTGTTTGTGCATCGAATGCAAATGTTTACATTGCTCCCAAGCAAAATAAATACAAATATTAAAAATTTAAGTTCACTAACAGACTGATCTATTTCTCAGGGAAAAAATGAAAAGTCAACCCTTCACTCATTAACCAGACACTCACTTTGTTTGTTCACAGAGAATTAAAAAAAACATACTTCAGGCAGGCTAATATGCATTATATCTGTTGCTTTCTATGAAGAATCAGGTTAATATGAAACAAAATCAAAAGGTGTACCTTTGTGAGGATGTCTGAAGGCATCAGTTGTGGGTTGTATCTTTAACTTGCTCCAATGGACAGTGTTAGACAAGTGATCTTCAAGGACAGCCAGACAGCCTGCTGTTTCAACAGATTATAAGCGCACACACAGTGTTTTGTAAAATGACACAATAATGTTCCTTATTTGAAGTCTGCTATATCATAGCATGCCAATTGTGTCACCGTGTCAGCTGTGCAAGCAGCAGTAGAAGAAAATCCTAATGTTGCAATTATAGGTCAAATCCAAGAAAGCAATATAGTATTTGATGAAAATAAGTTTTTTAAGACTTTTTCTAAGAAATCTGAGTCTTGTAAAAATAACATTTGATTCTTTTCCTATATAGCTTAAGAAATAGAATGATATTCAGGGAGAAGTTGACTGTATGGTTTATATCATGTTATGTGTTTTACTTTATAAAGTGTTCCCATCCACATCCAATAAGCTTTTTGTAAAATGCCACTTTTCTTTCAGACACAGTGTTCGCTGTAGTTTTTTAAAACTGTTTTGAAAATAAAATGTACCTCCTGCTTTGACTTAGATGAACAATGCACTTTGGGTCATCCCCTCAAAGTGAAAGGCGCTGTAAATGTAAATTTTATTGTATTCTATAGCAATGTACAACATTAGAAAATATTATTGCAGTTTGATTTGGCCATTCCTGTGGTACAAACTGTGCGGCAATCACCAGGTTCCAGCTGACCTGCTCCACAAGGATCTCATCTTGTGATACAAGTCAAGCTCATCCACTTCTATTAAATCATGTTCATCAATCCCCTTTGGAGGATCTGTTCACAAAATGTCAGTATTTTTAATAGGTAATGAGGCTGTTTACAAGTGCTCATTGTAGGATGCCTAGAGAGTAAGAATGTTGTATCAAAAGTACTTGCCTGTACAATTACGTTCTCCGTGAAACATCAATTCAGATGGTTTTGAATTATAACAAGACAACTAGTAAGGGTAATGACAGCAATAAGATGAACAGTAACAGCAGAAACTCTTCACAGCACAAATAAGGCTGACATTTGTCATGGTCTTAGCATTAAGACACATGTTTTTAAAATTGCAGTGCAGAATTTAGGAAAATTCTGAAGTTCAACCTGAATCAGTGAGTCGCTTCCTACAGATCTTTTTAAGCTAATGGATTTAAGATCATGAATAATTTGGGAATTTAGGATTATTAAGATACTATGTGTGCAACCAGGAATCAAAGCAGCACCACCAGAACTCATATTTTTGAGAACAAAATGTTATCCCAGATGTTACAAAAAAAATAATTTTGTAACAGCTTCAGGCAGACACACATAAATATTAGTTTTCTGTTGTTTTCACATAAGTGCTATTAGCCTAGCTGAGCTCTACTAAAGTCTTTCTCTGTATAACGGGACAATAAGCTACTTCTGAGGCCTGAAATTGCATCTAGTCTTAAGCCTGTAATATATTTTTGGTCAGCCAAAACCCATTGTATTATTTGTCAATCCACAACACAGTTTAGATTCAATAACTCCTTTATTTCAACAGTAAGTTCTACACTCTGGCCAGTCCCTTTCCCAAAATACGTTTATGCTTCCTGCTTACTTCTCACTGGTCAATGTCCAATTGCCAATTTAACCGTAATATGCAATACCCATCAGCATGCTTAAGGAAATCCAAACTAAACTGAGAGCTCCATGCCCTCATCTACACATGGAAATTCCAGAGAGGTTTATTGGAATAAGAATGTGCACTCCCCTCCTGGAGGGATGCATCCTGCTTGCCTAATTCCAGAGAGCATTAGGTGTAGGTTGGCAAGAGCCAAAGCTTCAGGACCCCAGAACTAAAGTCTAACTGATTAAAACTGCACACCTTGCCATTGAAAACACTGTCTGGCAAGCTTTTCTGCTGCTTGTCCAGTTAGGACCCACCCTACCCATTACGGCTTTGGTTTACAGAGTTAACGGAGCTGAATAGGAAGAATCCCTGCTCCCAGTTACTTCTCTGCCTTTCCAAGTCCTGCCGATGACCCAGGCTGGGTGGGCTTTCATCAGCAGTGCCCTGGTCTTATGGGCAAAGACTAGGGGGAATTTCAGACCCAATACTTCGACTGATCTTATATATAAAACGTATTACTTTACTGTGTGCCGTGGCATATCATTTGGAGCATGCCTCCACATGTGCATCTAGTGCTCAATACCTCCTGTCGGTACAAGTTATGTGCGCATTAAAATGTTTGTCTCAAGAGCAACCTTAAAATGCCTCCTTAATTAACAATGATTGATTACAATTTAATGAGCACAACAACCAAAGATCCGCCATAAATATGTCCATTGGCATTAAGTTAGCAGATGTTTCACCACAGTCAGTTAATTCTCAGTGGATGGTACTCAAGACAGAAAAACAAGCTTTACTATATCAGAGCAGAAGAAGTTATACAGAGATAGAAGATCCTCTCCAGGGCTCCAGTGAGAAGTAGGTTTATAGAAGGTTTTGAAAATGTAGACAAAGAGTGCTAAGTGGGGGGATTTATGGGGAGAATTTCAGAGAGCTGAGGCACAGTGGCT